CCCTGCGGCCCCGCCTCCAGGCCGCGCGCCCCCCTGTTTGTTGTCAATGGGACCAGGCTCATCTCAGCCAATGGGCGCGCGAGGCGGCGCGTGGGGTGATGGCGCGTCATCGATCAGCAGCTCAGATTTGCATAGTGAGGTTCCTCCCCTCGCGGCCTCGGAGCGAATGCCCGGAGTAGCCGCCCGGTCATCATCTTAACCTTCTCCGCCTTGTTTAAAGGAGCCGCTGCCTTCTCCGTTGGATCTGCGCCACACGCAAGTCCGTTCACTGGCCTGGGAGTGAAGGGTTAACAGGCCACCCTCCACCTGCGACCGCTGGCCGCCTCCAGCCCTGGCTGGGAGCACATTACGTCATCTTCCCAGCTGCCTCCCCGCGCCCTGACCGCCTGAGAAAACCGGCGGAGTCAAACCTGGCCCCCCGGCGCTCGGGACCGGAGTCCGGGTCATCCAAGTCCCGCTTCTCCCAGCCCCCTTACAAAGGCGGGCACGGAGGCCGACAGGGTTGCGAATTGTCCCAGGGCGGTCAGGATTTTACGTCTTCTGCTTTGCACCCGCCGTGACCTCGCGCTTTCTCCAGTGGTCCTCAATCCCTGGCACCTTGGAACCACTGAGGACCTGAAAACCACGCCAGTGCCCAGGCCCGCCGCCGGCCTCCTGAGAGGGGGGGGCCCGGGCATGAGTTTTTTGAAAAAGTTCCACCAGGATTCTGAAACGCAGCCCACCCACGAATTTCCACTTCTTGAAGCACCTCACTGCCCCGTCTCGCAGCTGGTCGTGTTGTAAACTTCTAGGAATTTAGCCTAAGGAATAAAAATTACACGTGCTTAAAGAAATGCTGTGGGCCGGGCGCCGTGGCTCACGCCTGTTATCCCAGCACTTTGGGAGGCCGAGGCGGGCGGATCACTAGGTCAGGAGATCGAAACCATCCTGGCTAACACGGTGAAACCCCGTCTCTACTAAAAATACAAAAAATTAGCCGGGGTGGTGGCGGGCGCCTGTAGTCCCAGCTACTCGGGAGGCTGAGGCAGGAGAATGGCGTGAACCTGGGAGGCGGAGCTTGCAGTGAGCCGAGATCGCCTGGGCAACAAAGCGAGACTCCGTCTCAAAGAAAAAAAGAAGCACTGTAACTAGGAAGAGGTGAGAATAAGGAAATGAATATGTAAGTTACATCCACACGATGGAATACTAAGGGATCATTAAAAATTATGCACACAAATGTATATTTATTGGCAAGAAGAGGCGTTCACAATATATTGATAAAAGGGAAAAGTAAGTTTCCTGCCAGTTTGTGAGAGGCAGCTGTTGCTTAGTGATCAATAATTAAGAACACACAGGCTGTGTGGAGGCAGACACGTGGATCCACTAATTCACTGTGTGTCCTTGGGCTGTTTAATTGTTCTAAGCCTCAGTTTTGTCATCTCTAAAATGGGGATAAAATAGTATCCCTCATAGCTGTGGTTAAGTGAGATTATTTGCACATTCAATTGACAATATTTATTGACCATCTCTGTGGCAGGGAAAAGAATGTGTCCTGCCCTCTGAGAGCTTCCAGTCTAGCAAAACAAACAAACAAACAAAAAACCAAAAAACCCCAGAAATCCCACATGCATATTAAACATAAAAATAAATTACAGATGATGGTACAAGTGATCAAGGAAAGGTAATGGAGGTGATGAAACTAACAAGGGACCTGACTTGTGCTGTCAAGAAGACTGAAGAAGTGACATTTAAGATGAAACCTAAAATTATGAGAGAACTGCAGCTGTTACAGCCAAAGGGGAAATGATGGCATGGATAAAGGCCTCGAGGCAGGAGGAGCTCCTGGTAGCCAGCTCTCGGCATAAGCTTTGGCATACAGTAATTGTCTTGCATGCTGCTGTATGGCAATTGAAAAAATAAGGATCTGGCCAGGCGTGGTGGCTCACGCCGGTAATCCCAGCACTTTGGGAGGCCGAGGTGGGCAAATCATTTGAGGTCAGGAGTTTGAGACCAGCCTGACCAACATGGTGAAACCCCGTCTCTACTAAAAATACAAAAATCAGCTGGGTGTGGTGGCGCATGCCTGTAATCCCAGCTACCCGGTAGGAGAATCACTGAAACCTGGGAGACAGAGGCTGCAGAATGCTGCGATCATGTCACTGCATTCCAGCCTGGGAGACAGAGCAAGACTCTGTCTCAAAAAAAAAAAAAAAAAAAAAAAAAAAAAGAGAGAAAAAGAAAAGAAAAGAAGAGAGAGAGAGAGAGAGAGAGAAAGAAAAAGAAGAAAAAATAAGGATCTATGTGCTCACCCGAAGGTTAAAAAGGATAGAAGACCCAACAGCTGGCTGTCAGACATTGTTATAGGAGTAGTGAGATTTGGGGTGAATTTTACTTTCTTTTTGGCATTTCAGTATTGTTTAAATTACCTTTTATAATGAATGTGTATAACTAATGAGAAATAGTGTCTTTTTTTGGGAAAACAAGACAAGATTGTGCTCGTCATTGTTTACACACAGGGAGGCTAGTATAGAATACACCAGTCTCACCCCGAAAGACACAGAAAACTAAACCCTGCTCTGGACCCAGCACTGAGCAGGAAGGTGCCACCTTCAACTGTGCTGCCTAGTGGCTCTTGCAAGGCCCCTCACACTAGTGTGTGACTGGTACTCTGGGGGGATTCAGCAACAACTCCCATACAACTCACTCTGGCCCAGGTCACCCCCACAACTCAGAATCTCAGTAACCCCCTCCAGAGGTGGCACACAGCACCTGTCCCCATAGTTCACTGGTGAACCTGCCCAGAGGCCGTGATGCCTGGCCAAGTGGACTGAGGGGGTACAAGTGAAGGTTCAGTAGAAATGGTGGAAGAATAGTGGCTGGACCCGAACCTCAGGAAACACTGGTATTTTCCCTCTGGCCCTGGGTCCCACGTAACTGAACATCTCTTCCAGGTGGTACCTTGCTCTGGCTAGCAGGAGGACAAGGGCTGGCTCTGAGATGTAGAGCAGCTTTTGACAAGTCCCTCCTCAGGACCTGAGCTCTTCATCTGAAGAGGGATGGACAGCTGGGCGCGGTGGCTCACACCTATAATCCCAGCACTTTAGGAGGCCGAGGCAGATGGATCATGAGGTCAAGAGATCGAGACCATCCTGGTCAACATGGTGAAACCCCATCTCTACTGAAAATACAAAACTTAGCTGGTCGTAGTGGCAAGTGCCTGTAGTCCTAGCTACTCAGGAGACTGAGGCAGGATAATCACTTGAACCTGGGAGGTGGAGGTTGCAGTGAGCCGAGATCGCACTACTGCACTCCAGGCTGGCGATAGAGTGAGACTCTGTCTTAAAAAAAAAAAAAAAAAAGAAAGAAAAGGGATGGACGAGACTGGTAAACACTACGTTTCCATATCTACCATGGATTGGGTACCTGCTACGGGTCACAGAAGAAAATTTTATATGTGGTTTTTCATTTACTTCCTCTGACCCTTCCTCTTCCCTCAATCTTTCAGGATTCAGTTCAGATATTACTTCCTCTAGGAAACCTTCCAATTGGATTAACCAAAAGTATGTACTCCACTGTTTGACACAGAGATGGGGTTAGAGAGGGAAATGACAAGTTTGGTTTTGGAAACGTAAGTGATGAGAATTATCAGGTAGTAACAGGGCAAGTATTCAGCTTTTGAGTCTTAGAGGGTATGGCTGCCCAAGAAGAAAATAGAAACAGCCCCACAAAAACTTCATGCAAATGGGGGCAGGTGAGGAAAGAAGAATCCAGAAGTGACAGCAGGCTCAGGCTTGACAGCAGGGAACTACAACAAGAAGCCTGAGAGAATCACCTCAAGGAGTTGTCAACAGCATCTCTCTGAGGACAGTGACGGGGAAGGGAGGAAGATGTGGGACTGGAATAAGGAGAAGGGCTGTGGACCAGGGAGGTTTTCCCTCCCAGTGGACATCTGGCAATGTCTGGAAACATTTTTGGTTGTCATAACTGGGGGACTGCTACAGGCATCTCGTAGGGAGAGGCCAGGGATGCTACTAAAATAGCCTACAACGCACAGGACAGCCCTCCTCACACACACACCCCAAACAATTATCTAGCCCCAAACATTAATAGTGCCATCACTGGAAAACGCTGGCTTAAAGGATATCAGGGAGCTCACAGACTCCCCGATGGTTCCAAAGACTGGGCCTAGCAGCTCAGTAGACAGGAACAATGTCCAAGATCACACTGAGAACACCACTGTTGCCACCACTGGGCATCCCTGGCACTGGTCACTGGACTTGGCACTAGAACCACCCCTTCGCTGCTGCCCCTGGTACCTGTGACCACCAGCACGACTCCCACAGTGGTATATACAGTTGGTAGAGCTATAGTCACGTAACAATCCCAGCTGCAAGAGGCAGCTGGACAAACATGTGCCCTAGGGCCTTTACAGCTGAGGGGGTGGGCTCTGCCTGCAGTAAGACTCAGAAAGTGGACTTCCTGGAGCAAGTGACTATAACAATCAACAGTGGCAGCAAAGGGAAGGAGAGAGGCAGCCAGTGGAGTAGTTCTATTTGTTTCTTTGAAGGTGCCCATTTGAGGGTGGAAAGGACAGGATTAACCAAGATGGAGAGAGGATGAAGGTATTAGAGGGAAGAGCCCAGGAGGAAGGAGGTGCCAGAAGGGGCAGATGAGGAGATAGGTAAGACCAGGCCCCTCTCTTTGGCTCTGATACAGCAGGCAGTCAGTAAATCTATAGGATGAACAAGGAACCATCAGAGAAGGGCACACATCACTGAGAAGTCACTTAAATTCCAGGTTTCATCCTTTCAACCACCGGGCATTCTGAGACGGGGGGGGGGGGCGGGGGCTCAAGGATCTGAGTGTGAAGAGCCTGGTTCTGATAACAACAGCTGGCAAGAGACAGCCCAGGCTGGTCCCAAGTTGCCCAGGTCTTGCCACCACACTGGGCTGCCTTCCCTGTTGCTCTGCAGTTGCCCAGCTCTGCTTCAAATTATACAAATCCTGCTAATGACAGAGACCCTAGAAGTTATTCAGTAGAACGAACCTCCAGCCGAAGCTGGACCCACACCTGACTGTTCTGAGGTATCCCTTGACCTCCCTGCTACCCCAAGAAAGCTCAGTCTGCTGCCAAGCAGGCCTGGTTCTTAGAAAGTTTTTTCCCCAGTTAAGGGGAAAGCAAAGCACCTTCTCTGCTAAGTCAGCAACCACAACCACTCTCCAGCATGAAGAGGGCAGTGATTGGCCTGGTCCTCCCGGCAGGGAAGAGCTTGTGGGCTGGTCCTGACCCCCAGCTCCAGCTGCTGGCACCAGGACAGGTTAAACAGCTGAGCCAGTGAATCTGACCCTTTCCCACTGATGCAGGAAAATAGGGTCTGGAGGCACGGAACATAAGGCCAATTCACGCTTCAGCTATAACAGGAAATATCCTCCCCATAGGGCATATGCTGTAAATGAATTTGTAAATTTACTTCATCCTCTCCATTTACATAGGGTGTACCTCAGGTAACCAATGGAATCCTCTAGGGGGTATATACTCCCAAAAATTCTGTAAGGGGCCCCTTGAGCCCCTATGCTCAGGCCCTCTCCCACACTGTGGAGTATACTTTCATTCTCAATAAAACCCTTCATTCCTTCCTTGCTTTGTGCATTTGTCCAATTCTTTGTTCAAGACACTAAAAACCTGGACACCCTCCACTGTTAATGCCATGGTCCAGCCCTTTAGTTCACAGACTCTGGTGTCCATGTGGCTGGGGTCACACAACCTGAGAGGGGCAGGGTGGAGATGGAGCTAGGTCTGTTGAGTCAGTCCCACCACACTGCCCTGCCTCCACTGCCCAGTGAGTGGGCCCAGGTGGCTGGTGCAGTTCTGATGGGGAAATTTCTCCAGCACTCCTCCCAGCCCCCACACCCAGCTCTCTTCCAGCTGCTTCTTGTCCCTTTACTTCTGAGTAACTGACGGGTGCAGGATGTTCTGGGCCCTTCCATGAGGTTCAGCTTCCGTAAGGCTCAGCTTCCCTTTGTTGCCACGGCCCCGCAGAGAGGCCAGCCTCAGAGAAACAGGTAGGGCTGGGCAGGGGATTCAGATACCATCAAATTCATTTTGCCAATGAAGCTGCAGCACAGGGAGGGGAAAGGGTGGGCCAGGGAGAGTCAGCAATCTGAAGGGCTAAGACTCAGATCTAACTTGGGCTCTGTCAGTGGTAGAGGGTTGGGTGTCGAGGGGATCTGGGATGGTTTTCTCTGCTTCTTTAAGAGGCAGATCCTGACTTGGCAAGGTCAAAGAGGCAGAGCTAGAATTCTCACTAAAGCCCTTCCCTCCTCTGCTTGGGAGGGGCATGAGTGTACCCAGGGCCACATGCCCTCTGCATCTTCCCTGCCCTGTGGCCTCCCGAGACGTGAAGCTGTCTGACCCGTGCAGCTTATGGCAGCCATTGCGGAGTATGGCCTCCTGCAGGGCTGCGGCCTGTCCCCCTGCAGCCCCCCACCCACAGGTTGACTATCTTCTAGCACTGCTGAAGAGAACAAGCTGACTTCCCTGTACTTGCTCAATGACTGTCCCCAGACATCTGAGGACAGAGATCATGTTGCTCCAAGGTCTTCTTGAGCTAAATGTTTCTCAGATCCCAGGACACTTCCAGGTCCCTTCCCAACACCAATCCTTTGTCAAGGACAGTGCTGGGGTAGGAACAGGAGGCCCAAGCCAAGCCCCTTGCTTCTCTGCCCCGCCAGGGCCCGGCCCCCACCACCGGTCGGGAAGAAACATCCTCCAAGCTGTTTCTACATCCCTGAGCCTTGGTTGGTCCAAAGGGTCCGCTGGCTTTTATTGTGTCTCTGCAGAGGGGCTGGGACCTGTGCCGGGCAGCTCTGTGACACTGTGGGGCCAGCAGCAGGGTGGCACCCTCACCTGTGGCTCAGAACCTACTTCTGCTGCTTCCCCACCAAGAGTGGAAGCCAGCTGGCCAGAGGTTTTCAGCCACCAAAAGAGTCCAGGCAGGCATCCCCCTGCTTCCCCCAGCAGTCTGCACAGGGTCATATTTCCAGTATAAAGTCCTCTGAAGGCCCCTTCAGCAGGAGGCCCCTGAGAGAAAAGCCAGCCATCTGAGGCTCAGTCCCTTTAGCCAGGGCTCAGACCCAGCTCCAGGGGGCTGGGAAAATGTGGCCTCTCCTTCTGGAAGGGGCTGGCTGGTGCTCTCCACCACAACTACATCTCCACCTCTTCTTCCTCCCTACCTGCCTCCTTGTGGCCCCTTGAGCCCTGAGCTGCTCCAGGGCTATAACTCAGACTGGGATCTGGAGATCCTCGGGCCTTTTCGGATCTCTTTCCGCTTCTCCTCTTTCTTCCGGCGTTTCTCTTCTTCTCTCAGGGCCTTCTGGAAAGGGTCAGTGCTGGGAATGAACTGAAGGGAAGAGAAGAGAAGTCTGATTTAGTCTGTGGCAGCAAAGAGCCTGCTCTGAGCTAGGCCACCGGCGGGCTGTGGGAATAGGAAGGTTCCCTGGACACAGGCCCTGCCCCAGACATGGAGACGGTGAAATGGGTTTGGGGAGAACTGCTGAGTGTGTGTTGCAAGATACGCAGGAGTTTGCCAAACCAACAGCATGAGGGAAGAGAAGAGTATTCTAGGTGCAGGGACAGACGCTGAGGTGGGAACCTACATGGGGCATCTGAGAAACGATACACAGATTCCTCCAGGGTGAGGGGATAGAGTGGCTGAGACCACCACAGACCCGGGAGCCCCACACCTGCTGCACCCTTCAGGAGGAGAGGAGAGAGGTCAGCCAGAGTCACAGATGACAGAGCAAGTAGCGGGGGTGGAGGATAAGGACTTCATTGGCAGCGGGAGATGGCGGGGGGGAGGGGCATTCTTCAACTGCAACCCAGGCCCTTGGCTTTCCTCCCTCGTCTCTCTCCAGACCGTCTCATCTAACTCATAGCTTCTATTGGCCTGTGTGGTCAGTTACCCCTCAAACTTGCATCTCCATGTTCAAATGCCTGTCTGAGACCTTCTTTAGGATGTCCCAAATGCACCCTAGACTCAGTATGGTTCCCTCTTCCCAGAGTACCTGTTCTGATGAGCAGCAGGGCAGAAACCGAGGAGCCCCACCTGCACCCGGCATTTCCTCTCCCTCCTTGGGTCCATCACCAAGGCCTGGCTGATTTCCAGCCCTAAATCTCTCTCAAACCCATCCACTTCTTTGTCTCTACTATTGCTGCCCCCATCACCACTCCCGCCTCTCTGCTGGATGACTCTAGGGGCCTCCCAAGGGCTTTCCACATCCCCTTTGGTCCCTCTCAAGTCATTCTCCTCACTGCAGCTGGATCTTTCCTTTTCTTTTTTCTTTTTTTTTTGAGACAGAGTCTTGCTCTGTTGCTCAGGCTGGAGTACAGTGGTGCGATCTTGGCTCACTGTAACCTCTGCCTCCCGGGTTCAACTGATTCTCCTGCCCCAGCCTCCCAAGGAGCTGGGATTATAAGTGCCCACCACCACACCTGGCTGATTTTTGTATTTTTAGTAGAGACAGGGTTTTGCTATGTTGACCAGGTTGGTCTCGAACTCCTGACTTCAGGTGATCCACCCACCTCAGCCTCCCAAAGTGCTGGGATTACAGGCATGAGCCACTGTGCCGGACGGATCTTTTCAAAATGAAAATCTGTTCATGTCACATTCCAGCTTCCATGGCTCTCCATGACTCTCAAGACAAAGTTCTACATGGGGTATCTGCAGGTCTACCCCGGCTGCCTCTCTGTTCCTACCTCATATCCTCCGCCTTTATGTTCTTGGATTCCCTGTACCCTCTCACTTCCAGGCCTTTGCATGTGCTGCGGCCGAGGCCCAGAATGCTCTTTCCAGCACCCACCCTTCTGCCACATTAGCTCGGGCTCAGCTGGTTCACTGCCCTCTAGACCTGCCTTGACTCCCTGAGGGGCTGCTCCTGGTGGTGTGCTCTCTTTGACTTTGTGCTGATTCCTTCTTTCTTGTGCCCATCGCCCTCCCAAACAGCACATTCCATGAGGGTAGGAGGATAGTGTCCTCTGCCACAAGGCCTTAGCACAGAGTCTTCCTGGCTTTTCGAGAGCACTCAATATGTGTTTTATTCAATGAATGAGCAAGCCACGTTAGAATAGGAAATACAATAGTACAGCAGGTCCTCGAATAATGTGGTTTAGTTCAAGGTCGTGTCATTATAATGTGGATGAGAAAAAAAAAACAATCGATTCCTGGCTGGGGCCACTGTGTGGAGTCCGCACATTCTCCCCATGTTCTGGTGGGTTTTCTCCGGGTACTCCAATTTCTTCTCACATCCCAAAGATGTGCATGTTGGGTTCACTGGCATGTTTATACCGTCCCAGTCTGACTGTGGAGGTGTGTGTGAGTGCGCCCTGTGATGGGAGGGCGTCCTGTCCAGGGTTGGTTCCTCCCTTATGCTCTGAGTTGCTGGGAGAGGCTGGACCCTGAACGGGACTAAATGGATAAATAATTATCTTACTTGTTTTGATGAATCTTTCTTAAATGCATGTACAGTTCACATTTATTTCAATGTTTCATATTAAGAGTGTTTTGGTCTTTATTTTGAAGACTAGAATTGGGCACTGTGGCTCATGCCTATAATCCCAGCATTTTGGGAACCTAAGGTGGGTAGATCACTTGAGGTCAGGAGTTCGAGATCAGCCTGGTCAACATAGCGAAACTTCATCTCTACTAAAAAATACAAAAATTAGTCAGGTGTGGTGGTGAGTGCCTGTATTTCCAGCTACTTTGGACGCTGAGACAGGAGAATCACCTGAACCCAGGAGGCGGGGGTTGCAGTGAGCCGAGATTGTACCACTACACTCCAGCCTGGATGACTGAGCGAGACTTTGTCTCCAAAAAAAAAAAAAAAAAAAAAAAAAAAAAAATCTGGTAATGGTTTTTTTGACCAGAAATATGCTGTAGTAACTTAACTCTTAATTTACATCAATTAGCCTATGGTAAGTTGGTTTGTAATACATAGATTCACTTAAAGTCACAGTTTCCAAGAACCTATGGATGATGTTGTGAAGATGTACTTTGCCTACAACTGAGGTAGCTGTGCTGTAAAACACACCCTTTTATTTGTTCTTAGGGCAATAGTGACAAACGTTTGATCTGATCAAAGTAGATACTAAAAACAAACAAATAGCTCCACCTTGTGGAGTAATCTGCCTACCAGGTTAGATTAAGTCATGACTGGAAGATGGGGGGATTCACAGAAGTATAGCCCAGAGAAGGTAAGTGAGTCACACAGCATGTGGTAGGCCCAACTAGGACTAGCCTCGCAGGCTGCACACTTCCCAGCCTAGTACTTCCCTACCACACTCTGCTCCTATCTCTGTGAGTGAATCCTGATCCACTTAAGACAGGGAGCTGGGAGACCCCTTAGGCCCCAGAGACCCCATTCCTCTCTGACTCTGGCTGGGCAAGGGCGAGTCAAGAGATCTTAGCCCCTTCAGTCTCAGCGGGCTCAGCTCAAACTAGCTGGGTCAGAAAAGAAATACACCCATCCTTTCCCCATTCCACCTAGGCCTGGCAGTGCCTACTCATCTTTCGAGTCTACTTTAGATGTCTCCCCAGGAATCTTCCCTGGCCACCCCTGATAGTACCTGACCAGCCTGGGTCAGGTCAGCAGGCTGACGGCCAATACAGCATTGTGGCTAAGAGCATGGCTCAAGAGGCAGACCACATGTATTTGAACCTTCATTCCATCACTTACTGGCTGTGAGACCTCAGCTTGATTACTGTACCTCCCTATGCCTCTGCTGTCTTCACTGTTAGGCTAGTTATCAATTTATTTCCTCTCTATTCCGAATTCACTCTTCATCGCCTGCTCTGTGAAAATGCATCTGGCTCCAAGATAGAGCCCCAAACTCCTAAGCTTGGTGTTGAAGGGACCGGACCCCATGCTACATCTCCAGCCTTATCTCCTCCTGTCTTCAAGCTACCCTGCTCTGCCTGTCCCTGACAACAACCACATCCTCCATAGCCTCAAGCATGCCACTCTGGCCACTGCCTTCTATCTTCTCTAACTCCTTAGCCCTACTATAACCACAAGCAGGCCCTCTGTGCTGCCAGCAATCCAGCCTCATTTCCTGGTCCGCTTATCCTCCTGCTCTCCTGCACATACCTTCTCCTCAAGCCTCTGTGCTCCCCTCACTCCCAGACCATGACCTTGCTTTCTATCTCACAGAGAGGATGAAAGCAGCAGGAGACAACCCCCACAGCTCCACCACCACACCCACCAACCCATTTACTTCTGTGCCCACATGCTCTGCCTGCCGTCCTGTTCAAGGTTAAGGATCTGCTCTTCTGTACAAGGCCAAGCCTTCCCCCAGCACTACAACTCACCCCTCCTCACCTCCTCCAGATAAGGCTCCAGCAACCTGGCCCCTGGCCTCATCAGTTTCTCCCTCTCTAATGGATCAGTCCCATCCACACAGTGCAAGCCTGCTATGGTCTCTCCCAAGGACTAACATTTGAAACCACATTGTCCTCCAGCTATTCTCCCATTACACTGCTCTCTTTGAAAGGAAAACTCTTCGAAAGGGCTGTCTACACTTGCCACATCCACTTCCTTTCCTCTCATTCTCTGGAAATCAAATCTTTTGTTCCCAGCACCCCGCCCCCCAAAGCAGCTTTTATCAAGATCACCAGTGGCCTCAACATTGCTCGGTCCAGCAGTCGATTCTCAGTCCTCGCCTTCCTTACCTCCCAGCAGCGTCTGACAAGCTGATCGCTCCCTCCCTACTTCCTCTAACACTTTCCTCGTGTGGCCTCTGGGAAACTCTTGGGGCAGCCACCACCATGCTGACTGCTCCTTCGGCGGGTTCTTGCTGCTTCCTCCTCAGTCCTTCAACCTCTTGTCTCCAGCCCCATCCCACGCCTCAGTCCTCAGACTGCTTCTATACCTGCCCAATGCCCCAGATGACTGTGTCCTGTCTCACGGCTTTTGGTGCCTTCTACATAGGCATGGCTCTCACATTTACAGGTCCAGCTTCTACTTCCTCCCTGAAGTCTAGAGTCAAATATCCAGCTGCCTCCTTGACCTCTTTACTCTGATGTTCACCAGGTGCAGGAAAAAACTCTTGATACCCTCTCCAAGGATTTGAAAAAATGACAGTCCCATTCTTCCCAACACTCAGGCCAAAAGTCTTCTAGTCATGCTTAACGCTCCTCTCTCTCTCACCACATCTGCTTCCTCAGCAAATCCCACTGGCCCTACTTCCAAAAGAGAACCAGAACCTGACCATTTCTCACCAGATCCACTGTCATCGTCTGGTTCAAGCCACTATCAACTGCCACACAGATGAGCACAGCAGCCTCCACACCTGGGTCCCTGCTTCTGGTCCCCGACCATGCTCCACACAGCAGCCAGATGATCCCTT